GGAGCATTTGTCCCAGGAGTTTCTGACCCTCAAGCAGGGCATTGAGTCTGTTACGGTGATTACCAGGATGTTTCACGAGAGGGCGATGTTCTGCCCTGAGCACGTGTCCACTGAGCAGTCACGTATGAGTTGGTATTTGAGTATCTTGAGACGGGACATTCGGGAGTTTGTGGCGAACTCCTCATACCGGAAATTTTCTGAGCTTTAGGCAAATGCCCGGAAGAGGGAGATCGAGCTGGAGACTCAGGCTAGGGAGGAGGCTGAGTCTCATGGGAGGGATCGGCGACCGGCACAATTCCAGCCGGCAGCCAAGCGGGCCAAGCCCGCTGATCCCAAATCAGGGAGCCAGAAGGGCCGCACTTGTGGAAAGTGCGGCAAGGGTCATGATGGAGTGTGTAGAGCGGATCTTGCTACAAATGTGGCAAGGAGGGGCATATAACCAAGGACTGCCCGAAGGGGTTTGCAGTATGTTTTCACTGCAACCAGACCGGACACCGAAAGGCGGAGTGTTCGCAGTTGCGGGGATCAGCTCAGGGAGCACCTTACGGATCTGCCCCTGCCAACATCAGAGCTACCGGGAGTGGGCTAGTGAAGGCCGGGGCATCGAGGCACGTGGGAGAGCGTTTCAGTTGACCGCGGAGGAGGTCCGCACAGTGCCCGATGTCGAGGCTGATATGTATTCTTTCGTGTATTTATTGTAATTTTGAAATATTATGCTCATATTATGTTATGCGTAGGTACTTTTCTTGTGAGTTATGTACCTGCCTTGGTATTATTTGACTCGGGTGCGAGTCGGTCCTTTGTATCTTTGGCTTTTAGTTAGCACATCAGTGTTAGTCGCGAGGCACTGAGTCGGCCTATGAGAGTTTCCATAGCTGGCGAGAAGGCGATATATGCCACGGAGGTGATCCATGGGTGCGTACTCGAGATTTTCGGTGTTGAGTTCCCGATTGATTTGGTTCCTATTTCCATGGGGGATGTTTGTGTCATCGTGGGCATGGACTGGCTGAGCAAGTTCTGTGCGGTTATCGACTGCGAGCGGCAGCTAGTGACCATACAAGACCCTGGTGGGGAGTTCTTACAGTGTACGGCGAGGGTACCCGTTCTGGATCAGCATTTTGTTCGGCCGCTAGGGTGAGGCAGTGTCTGCAGCAGGGCTGTAAGGGTTTTGTGGTGTATGTGTCAGATACGCGGGTTGATTCCAGGAGGTCGAGGTCGGTGGAGTAGGTTCCTATAGTGCGTGAGTTCCCGGATGTCTTTCCGGAGGAGTTGTCAGGGGTGCCTCCCGTGAGGCAAGTAGAGTTCGGTATTGATTTGGTCCCGGGGGCCGCGCCTATCACTAAGGTGCCTTATCGTCTTGCACCTCCAGAGATGCAAGAGTTATCCTCGCAGCTTCAGGAGCTGCTGGGGAAAGGGTTTATTCGGCCGAGTAGCTCGCCGTGGGGAGCGCCCATTCTGTTTGTAAAGAAGAAGGATGGTTCACACCGGATGTGTATTGATTACCGGGAGTTGAACAAGCTGACGGTCAAGAACCGTTACCCGTTGCCGAGGATCGACGATTTGTTCGACCAGTTGCAGGGAGCATCTTGGTTCTCCAAGATCGATTTGAGGTCTGGATACCATCAGGTGAGGGTGCGAGATGAGGACGTCCAGAAGACAGCGTTTAGGACGCGTTATGGGCATTATGATTTTGTGGTGATGCCTTTCGGGCTCACCAATGCTCCGGCAGTGTTCATGGATCTCATGAACCGGGTGTACAGGCCGATGTTGGATCGGTCGGTGATCGTATTTATTGATGACATTCTGGTATATTCGAGATCTAGGGAGCTGCATGAGGAGCATTTGAGGGAGATCCTCGGAGTTCTGAGATCAGAGAGGCTTTATGCAAAATTCTCCAAGTGTGATTTCTGGTTGCGAGAGGTCCAGTTCCTAGGATATCTTGTTAACCAGGATGGGATATTGGTTGACCCAGCCAAAGTGGAGGCAGTGATGAGTTGGGAGGTGCCGAGGTCACCCTCCGAGATCAGGAGTTTTCTAGGGTTGGCCGGTTATTATCGGAGATTTATCAGGGATTTCTCTAAGATCGCAGTGCCACTCACCAGGTTGACCCGGAAGGGTGTTGCTTTTTCATGGGGCCCCGAGCAGTAGGCCTCCTTTGAGACGCTTCGCCAAAGGTTATGCGAGGCCCTGGTGTTAGCCCTTCCGGAGGGAATGGGGACTTTGTTGTATACTGCGATGCATCGATTTTGGGGTTGGGAGCAGTACTGATGCAGAGAGGGCATGTGATAGCGTATGCATCAAGGCAGTTGAAGCCTCATGAGTCGAGGTATCCCACCCATGACCTAGAGTTGGGGGCAGTGGTGTTCGCCCTCAAGATTTGGTGCAATTATTTGTATGGGGTTCGGTGTACGATATACACGGACCATAAGAGTCTGAAGTATTTGATGGATCAACCCAACCTAAATATGCGGCAGAGGAGGTGGTTGGATGTGGTTAAGGATTATGATTGTGATATCATGTACCATCCGGGCAAGGCTAATGTGGTAGCCGACGCCCTGAGTCATCGGGCGGAGAGCGCCCCGTTGCGAGGTGTATGTTTGCGTTTGACCGTGATGACTCTGGTGATGGACACCATTCGAGGAGCACATGCTGAGGCAGTGAGGTCGGAAAACCAAAAGAGAGAGCGAGTTGTTGGATTGGTATCGGAGTTCGTTACCGATGGTCG